AAATGTTTACTTATAATTTACAATTTATAAACTACCAAATAAATAAACATTCATTAAATTATTATCAACTTTATCTTAACATCAAATTAATCACTGCTAAATTACCCTCAATTGTTTTATGATTATTAAAAACTTAAAATCAAAAGGATTAAAAAAATGCATGTAGTTTACTACAAGAAAACTTAATATCTTATATTTTAATATTATACAGTTAGAATTTAGATCAAAATCTTGCTCAATTTTTATTCTAAATTATGAGCATTTATTCTGTTAATATGATTTTGAAATAAAAATAATAAAATTTGATTATTTAAATATTTTAATTCTCATAATTATCTAAATTTTCTTATTTATATCTCCTTTGATGTATTATCCCAAGTGATCAAATACTCTCCATCATGACTTAATTATCCAAAAATAAGATAAGTACTAAATTCAATAGATTATTAAATGATAAAGTCATCATTTTCATTCTTCCTCATTAAATTAACATTACTGCCATTCTTATTAACTAGAATGCATTTAGACTTTAAGTATTATTATGGAAAGAAAATATTTTCATCTCTTAAACCACACTTTACAGCAATTTGCTTAGTCTTGCTATACTATTTAGTATTAATATCCATCTCATATATATCAATATATTCTTAACATCTTGGTTAGAATATAAATTAATTATCACTAATAAAACATAATCTTAGACCCCATTTATCTACTATTATCTTTTATGTAACATTCCATTTATTATCCAACTTTTATTATTCTATTACTAATATTTATGAATCCCATGAACAAGATATCAATTTATTTTATTGATCATTTAAGCTTAATGAATATACATAACTAGTATGATCAGTTATGGTTTATTAACACATCCATTTATCCTATTTCATCCAAAATTTTATTGTTTTATCATTACTACCTGAGATAATTAGATCATCAGTATTATTTAATTATAAACAATATATAAAATGTGAATGTCCATTCAATATTTATTAACATTTCCATTAACTATTTCCTATCTCTTACCATATTATAATTGACTTATCATCACTTCCAGATACAAAATTATTTGTATTTTTCATGAAATTCAAAGTATTTACATAATCTTTATGTTCACTTAGTATTTGTATTTAATCCAGTTTCCCTTATATATTTTGAAATACTTTAATATTCTTATGACATCCAGCTATCACCATTGAGCAATCATTATTAAAAGCAATAGCATAACACCTTTCATTTTACTTAATTGAATTTTAATTCATGATTTCAAAGGTGAATGGGTTTAGATTTGGCTTTAATTCAGGTTGATGTTTTGGTTATTAGAAAATCAAGTTTGGATTTTATACATTATCATCTTACTTTACATTTGTTT